TCTCCCAAATGCTTGCCATTGACAGAACCTAATACCTAAATCTCCATACATACCATGGCAGTCCCACATACTCAGGAGGCTAAAGAAAGAAAATTTCTTGAGCCAATTAGCCTGATGCAAGTGTGGCAAACATATCAAGACCTCACCCAAACAAATTTCAGAGTGCACAGGGTGAGGTGGAGAACTGATATAAAAGTCAGAGAAGGGCGTAAGGTAAAAGATCTCGCTGAGGATTTCCACCTCAGCCAGGTAAACTCTTAAATGTTGCATAACCTAAGCAAATCATTTTTACAATATCATGTCTTTGTTCCTCATTAAAATAATAAGATTAATAATATTTCTCTAAGCATTCACACAGTGAGACCAAAGGAGGATATTCTTAGGAGAAGATCACCAGGGCCCAATCGCTATGTGCATAAAATCATATAAAATAATGCTTATTGAAATAAAGTCTAAGAAATGGAAATGAGAGGTTTTTCATTGTATTGTTCCTGGTTCTTTTTATTCCCTTTTGTCATTGTGTTTGATTTATGTACCCATTGTCTTATAGATAAGTTTATTTGCTTTGGGGAGGGAAAGAGGAAGCACAGAAATGGTAGGACAAAGAGTGAATCAAATGTATTTAAATGTTTTTTTTTCTTTCATGCATTTGTTTCTAATGCATTTATAAGATTATTTCTTTGTTGCTTTGTATGTCCCTCCCCCACAGTATAACCCCTGCTTTCACTGTATTTGATGTTGTTATAATTTGTGGAGGGGAAGGGGAAAAACAAGTCAGTTAAATAAGGATACAGGTGGACCCGTTGCAGCAATGAGATGTACAAGTCGTTATGTCGAAAACGAACTTTACAACTTTGGGGGGGGGGATGCTGGGAAGGGATGTGAAGGGTAAACAAAGGAGGAGGCAACAATGCTTGATAGGAAAATGTACTCATTATCTTGCCCATGTAATTGTAACCCCTCTGTACAGTATGTTCCCAATTTAAAAAAAAGAGTGAATCAATTCAGCAGTGATACTTACTAGACACTGTGTTACAAATGAACTATACAACTTGTGGTAAAGGGGGTTGAGAGGGAAAAAATTAATGTACTCAATACCTGACTTACATAACTGTAACTCCTATGCATATCACCTTTACAATACAAAAATAAGTATTTTTCTAAAAAAAAGATATGAGAATAACTTGAGTCCAAAACTTGAACTAAGCTGTTTGTTGGAAGAGTGGTTATGGACTTACCTACCTGATTCTCATCTTTGTTTCTTTGTGTTTTCAGACTTTTTCTAGGGACTATCACTAACACTTCCAGAATTTATTTTGAGATTTTGGAAGGAAGCCCAATCATCCCTTCTCCGTGAAATACAAAGATGCTGGGATACCTAGGAAACAGCAGCAGCATGTCCCCTACCTTCCTGCTGAGCGGCATTCCTGGGCTTGAACATTTGCACATCTGGATCTCCTTCCCTTTGTGCTTCATGTATCTGATTTCCATCCTAGGCAACTGCACGATTCTCTTTATCATTAAAACTGAGCCTTCACTCCATGAGCCTATGTACCTCTTCCTGTCCATGCTGGCTCTCACTGACCTGGGGCTTTCCCTTTGCACCCTTCCCACAGTGCTGGGCATCTTTTGGGTGGGAGCAAGAGATATTAGTCATGATGCCTGCTTTGCTCAGCTTTTTTTCATTCACTGTTTGTCCTTTCTAGAGTCCTCTGTGCTCCTGTCTATGGCTTTTGACCGATTTGTGGCCATTTGCCGTCCCTTGCACTACGCTTCCATTCTCACCCACACAGTCATTGGCAGAATCGGTCTGGCTTCCCTGGCCCGTAGTGTAGCACTCATTTTCCCATTGCCTTTTATGCTCAAACGATTCCCATATTGCAGCTCTCCAGTTCTCTCCCATTCCTATTGCCTCCACCAAGAAGTGATGAAACTGGCCTGTGCAGATATCAAAGCCAATAGCATCTATGGCATGTTCGTCATTGTGTCCACAGTCGGTGTGGACTCGCTGCTCATCCTCTGCTCCTATGCCCTCATCCTCAACACTGTGCTGTCTATTGCCTCCAGGGCCGAAAGGCTCAAAGCTCTGAACACCTGTGTTTCCCATATCTGTGCTGTGCTCCTCTTCTACACACCCATGATTGGCTTGTCTGTCATCCACCGCTTCGGGAAGCAGGCACCCCATCTGGTGCAGGTGATCATGGGCTTTGTGTATCTTCTTGTCCCTCCTGTGATGAACCCCATTGTCTATAGTGTGAAGACAAAACAGATCCGAGATCGGGTCACTCATGCTTTTTGTTCCTGACCAGATCAAGTTTGGAGACATGACTGTCTTTGAGTGGTTTTACACTTCTGTCTTTATAAGATGTGATATGCATGGAAGAGAAGAGGCATTTGTTTACAACTGTAGACAAGGATGAACAAATGGCAGCTTTCACACCATTCATACTTTATAAAGGCCGATTAGGAGAGATCCAGTGTACTATGATACAGAACAATTTTCCAAAAATGTCTTTAAAGATATTCTTAGTCTTGTTTTCTGTACAAATATTTCCAGTCCCAGAAGCTTACCATTCCATGTCAAGACATAGACTTTTTCTTCTCTTATAACCAAGCAGGCCTATGTAACTGCCTCCATGAAGTCAATGTTGTAGAAATAAACCCAGAAATATCTCAAGGTTAGATCATAGACAATTGCATGTTTCTCACTGGTGATGTACACATATCTTCAGTATTCCTGTCTATCTTGCACAACATTTGCTTTTGCTGTTTAGCCTTTGTACTGACAGGAAGCCAAGGCCAAATGGGGAAACTATATGTTTCATCCAGCAGGTTCAGCTAAGATATGAACCCAGTGAGTGAGCAAACTTTCAGATTATTCCACTTCCCATCTTTCCATTTTTTTCTAGCAGACAGTCAAGATGAAATAGAGGGGTAGGGTCCGGCACTGGTGGCTCATGCCTATAATCCTAGCTATTCAGGAGGCTGAGATCTGAGGATTGCAGTTCAAAACCAGACCGGGCAGGAAAGTCCGTGAAACCCTTATCTCCAATAAACAAACAGAAAACCAGAAGCAGCACTGTGGCTCAAGTGGCTGAGCACTTGCCTTGAGCTGAAGAGCTCAGGGACAGCACCCAGTTTAAGCCCCATGACCAACAAAAAAGAAAGAGAGAGAGAAGGGACAGGTAAATTCTACCACAAGACCAATACAAATGCAAACCAAATAAAAGTAAAAATGTTAAGACCCTAAATTTGAAGATAAGTTGTTATTTGAATTATCCAGAGGAAAGGGCAGTTTAAATGCTATTTAAAAATAGCATCTGATGAGGAATAGCTTTTCAAGAAGAAAGCCTATCTTAATAAAATTATTTGCGATATCTCAGAGACATGTGGTAGGGGAGAGTAGGTAAAAATGTATTTTAATCTAGAATAACATATTCAATGCTGAGACAGAGATGAGGGAGAGACAGTACATTCAGAAAATCATCTGGATGTTTAATTGTCACCATGGAGAACATTTGGCAACTGGATAAAGGAACCTAGAAAAAACCCTGAAAGGAAAGAGTGGCCTATATTTCTAAAGGAGTTGTTGAGCTAAGCCTCAAAGTAGAAAGTGTCTGGGTGACAAGAGGTGCTGATTGTTTACTGTCTTTCAGTGATAGTTGTCCAGACACCGTAAGAACATAATGCAAAGCCTAACAAAGGACTTTGTTCTTAAATTGGTTTTTGTGAATACATGGGACTTTGCTATGTAAAAGTACAAAACAAATACATGCTTGCTGGAAAAACATACACACAATACCCAAAGATTTAGGTATAAGTTTAATAGGATGATGCTGCATTTATATTTCTCTGCAGAAATGTAAGACAGAAAGCTATTAGGTAAGGTGATAGAGAAAAGTCAATATTGAATAATAGGAAATAAGGCATGATAGATTGATAGATAAGATATAGATAAAATTTATTGAGAATGTCTTTTTATACAATTTTATTTGAAAATGTATTAAAGCAGCTTCACTTTATTTTAAATGCCCAGGGAAAACACTATCACAAAAAAATGACTAAGTAGGAAAATCATATTGTTTAAAATTAGTTTCTTAGTTACTTAGCAGAATCTGTGACTTTTTTATAAATTATATGCTGGGTTTTTTGTTTGTTTGTTTGTTTTGTTTCAGCCAGTTGTGGGACTTGAAGTATGGGCCTGGGCCCTGTCCCTCAACTCTTTAGCTCAAGGCAAGTGCTCTACCACTTGAGCCACAGAACCACTTCCAGTTTTCTGGTAGTTAATTGGAAATAAGAGTCTCACAGACTTTCCTGCCTGGGCTGGCTTTGAATCTTGATCCTCAGATCTCAGCTTCTTAAGTAGCGAGGATTACAGACTATATGAAGGTTTAATAATAGCATATTGTTATTAAAATTAGATGTGTCATGTTAGATATTTTTACAGACTCAATAAGATTTCTAATATCTCCTAAATTTAGACTTGCAATTCTCTTCTACATACGAATAAATCTGATTCAGTTGATTTATCCAAAAAATGTCACTCAATATTTGCCAAGTGATATTCTTGTTTTGATTTGTTTTTTTTTTTTACAAATTGAACATTCTTCCTAAGTAATATATGCTCCTTGATTTTTGTCTTTCCTTGATGGCATAGAGATTACACACTGTAGCATTAATTTTAATAAATGCTGATTGCACAATAATCTATTCACTCAAATTCTATTCTTTAAGAAATGCCTCTGATCTAATTGGTCTATCACGTAAGTTTTATTTCAAGCCCTCTTAAAATGTTCCTTCAACTTCAATGAATCATGTCAGAGTGCCCAATTATTTTGTTCTATCTTGTGTAAATTGTATTCCCAACTTTATTATATAAATCTTGTACCCTGGCTCTTCACTAGATGGTTCACCAGATAGTTCAACACCACCATGGCACTGAAGATAAAACAGTTCCATTATTTCCTAGTTGGTAATTTATTTCTTACATACTCAAATTATTATCTGAGGCAGATGTTGACTACTTTACCTAAGACCTTCTCTCGGATATGGCGAGTCTTTACACAGTACACAATGGGGTTCATCAGGGGTGGCACCAATAAGAATATATCTGCAATAAGGATAATAACTAGAGGGCTTTTGTGCTTGGCAAAGCGATGCATGGCAGCCAAGGTGATGATGGGCACATAGAAGATAATCACAGCACAGATGTGGGAGACACAGGTATTCAGGGCCTTCAGCCTCTCTGCCAGAGAAGCAATGCTGAGTACCGTCTTCAAGATGAGCACATAAGACAGCACAATCAGTGAAAAGTCCAACATAGTACAGAGAGCAACAAAGAAGCCATAGATGAAATTAATCTTGTTGTCAGAACAGGCCAGCTTCATGATATCCTGATGAAGACAGTATGAATGAGAAAGGAGATTCTTTTCACAATACTTTAGTCTCCTTAGAGTACAGGGAAATGGAAGCACTAAAATTAGGCTTCTAAAAGCTAAGATAATTCCAATTTTAGCCACTCTGCTGCTAGTTAGAATAGAACTATATCTGAGAGGGCTCTGGATGGCGAGAAAGCAGTCCAAAGACATAATTAGAAGCACAGAAGATTCCATCACAGTGAATCCATGAATGAAAAACTCTTGAACAAAGCAAGCATCAGGGGAAATTGTCATGGCATTGAACAAGAAGATTCTCAGCATGGTGGGAAGGGAAGAGAAAGACAGCCCCAGGTCAGAGGCAGCCAACATGGCAAGGAAATAATACATGGGCTCATGAAGTGAAGGTTCTGTCTTTAAGATAAAGAGAATGGTACAGTTGCCCAGGATGGCAACCAGGTACGCGAAGCAGATGGGAATGGAGATCCACATGTGGGCATGCTCTAGTCCTGGGATCCCAGTCAGAAGAAAATACTTCACTTCAGAGTTGTTAAGAACAGACATGAGTGGGGAATCTGCGATTTAAAGCCAGCTCTGAAATCACATGAACAAAATCCAGTCATACTTTTGAATAAAATGCAATCTTGTGGGGATAGAATGTTCTTTCATACGTAGTCTGAAGAAGTATATTTGGTATGTGAAACAATTACATTCTTCCAAATTTACCATAAGGTCTTAAATATTGTAAATTCTCCCACATGACAAGTTCACTTTAACAATGCATGCTAAATATGCATTTTTCAACATTTTTCATCAAACAGGTAAAGTATGTCAAAGTAGAACTGTTTGTATTGACTCAATGAAAAGACACCCAGAATCTAGTTCACTGAATTTTGCCATGCAGTCTTCAGCAGATCCCAGAGTGCTTTTTACAACAAATTGTATGAAATTTGTGGAATGAAACAATTATCTAACTCAGATCATTGAAAATACTTAGTAAACAAATTCTAAACTGTTAAGTTTATGAACTATTTCATATATTAAACTTAGGAAATAGACTCTTATGTATATAATATTCATGAGTATGATTCATGTAAATACATATTCCTTCAAGAAATCTATGAAAATAAACATAATAATTTGTGGTCTAATATATTTGCAACCTATTTGGTTTTAAGTTATCTCATCTATCTAAATATCATTTATAATCTATAAAATTAATAAGAGTATTAAGCTGTTGGTATTAATAAAATACCAACTAGGTATTAATAAAATACTAATTAGACCTATGCTCCTCATATTACAAAGAAGTATCAGAAAATACTAATATTTATTCTAATAGATTTTAGTAAAATATGTAAGAGATATAAAGCAGTGACTTTACCTTACTTAATTTAAACATTTTGGGTCACATTTCATTCTTCTTATTATTTCAAGGGAGAGTTAGAATCTGTACAGTAATGTCATACACATTTTCATCTTATCAATCCTAACTGGGTTATTTTATATTTATCTGTGTCATGAACAAGTTAAGGAAATTGTAAATTAAGAAAAATGTTCAAACCACTTAATTTCCTTTTGAAATTTAAATATTAAAACTCTAAATAACAATACCTGATTTCACTTACACAGTCTATAATACAAGTTTGCTATTTACATTCTCAGAGACAAGCTACATAATCTTCCATTTTATTACTACAATTTTGGATCACCAAATGTGGAATAAGTGATATTAATGTCCAGAAAACACAAATATCTAAAATAGACACCATAAATCCTTCTTCTATTTAATAAGCCTTCTAAATAGATGCAGAAAATATTTATGAAATTAATTTCTACTGAAAAATATAGCAAAATACAAAACATAATGGGAAAGCCCATAGAAGGGTAATGCACTCAGGATATGTCAATGTCACCTCATAAGTTTTGTTTCATTTTGTTTTGTTTTTTGTCGGTCATGGGGCTTGAACTCTGTGCTTGGGCACTGTAAGCGCTCTACCACTTGAGCCACAGTGCCACTTCCAGTTTTCTACTGGTTTTTTGGAGATAAGAGTCTCACAAACTTTCCTGCTCGGGCTGGATTTGAACCATGATCCTCAGATCTCAGCCTCCTGAGTAGCTAGGATTACAGGAATGAGCCACCAGCGCCTGGCATCTCATAAGTTTTTAAACTTCAAATTACAAAAGAGTGAAATTCATCAGTCTTTAGTAGAATATGTAAAAGTAGGAAATACTTGTGTTCTTCTCAACTAAAGCTTGAATGCCAATCAAGGTGGTATTTTGTGGTCATTTGTAGGATAATTTGAAATATGATAAATGACTGCCAGGTGCCAGTGGCTTATGCCTGTAATATTAGCTACCCAGGAAGCTAAGATCTGAAGATTGCAGTTCAAAGCCAGCCCAGGCAGAAAAGTCACCATGAGACTCCAAATGACCACTCAAAAACTGGAGGTGGAGCTGTGGCTTAAAGTGGTAGGGTGCTAGCCTCGAGCAAAAGAGTTCAGGGACAATGCCCAAGCCCTGAATTCAAGCCCTACAACCAAAAAAAAAAATGATAAACATCCTTAGATTAATATATCTTGTTTTCAAAATACAACCTTGATAACACATTTTAACAATGTGGCAACAATAAAAATAGATTCATGCCATTTATTTCACTTTATTTTCAGTCATAAATTCATTCTTCAATAGACTATGTAAGGGCTTGTATGTCTATGCTTCAGAAAAAGAAATAGCCCAAAATAATTTAAATCAACAAATATTAACATAATAGATGGCATATTATATCATGAAAAATAGATGTTCTTATCCATAGAAAGCATACAAAATAGATTATTTAAATAATCTATCTAACTAGAACTCTTCATATCAGCCATGTGATTGAGAATATGTAGATAAAGAAATATTAAGAGACATGGAAGGAAATCTAAGATAGTAGCTAAAATATGTACCAGAAGAACACATTAAGGAGAAGAGTCTTCTGATTAAACATTGTCCAGATCTCAGAATTCTGATAGTTAAGGTAAGAAATCATCCCTTAGCCTAATGAACAAACATCTGTGGGTAACTTCAGCTTGGCAACTTACCCTATATGAACCAAAACCACCACATAGCTGTTTCCTCTTCTGTTGAAGACTGTAAAGAATAATATCTCCTTCAGAGTTCTTTTAGACAGTCTGATACGGTCTTTAACATATTGAAGACAATGAGCAAACACCACTGGCTACTTTAAAAATAAATACCTGGAGGGACTGAGAAGGTGGCTCAGTGATAGAGTGCTTGCCTTGCATGCCTGAGGCCCTGGGTTCGATTCCTCAGTACCACATAAGCAGAAAAGGCCCGAGGTAGGACTATGGCTCAAGTGGTAGAGCACTAACCTTGAGCGGAAGAGCTGAGGGACAGTGCCCAGGCCCAGAGTTCAGGCTCCACGATCAAGTCTTAGACTAAGAGGACGTTTTCTCTTCTTTGTTGGTACTAAAACATCATTTTATTATATTATCAAGTAAATGAGACTTTACAAATGTTATCATATTGATAAAATAACCTAGTAATTATTTAATGTTCAAATTCTACTATCAGCTACCCACAGAGACAAGTGATCACACATACACACACACACACACACACACACACACACATTCACTGAACTCACTTCCTATTCTTCCCTAGTAGTCATTTATTTAGACACAAACCATTTAACAAAGGGTTGGTTTAAGGTTGCCAATAGGATTTTTTAGCTCCTCACACTTACCAAAACCAGACACTTGGTTTCCTGAAAGATAAGAACAGAACTGTGTATTGACCCCACTTTGTGCTAATGTATTGACTTCTGTTTTCCTCAGGAGTATAGACCTCTGAGGAGTTAATTCTCCTGGGATCTCCTAGTAAGTTAATAAAGAAAGGGTTGGGCCTGGGACTTTGCATTAACTCTTTGGGACCCAGATCCTCAAACAGGAGCTGGTGACAAAATGTAAAGAAAAAAAAATCTAGAGGATAGAATTATTTCATTATAAGCCAGCTTCTAATATCTGCATTTGTTGAAGGTGAGGCTTTCACCAGCAGCCTCTGTCTGTTTCCCACATTGCAGAAGTGCTGTAATTCTAAACACACCTGGAACAGCCCTCACCAGAAAGACACAAAATAATTTTAAAATGTTTCCATTTACTTAACTCTAAGTCAAATGTTGTAAACTGGCTCCCAGTTACCTAGGAGTAAAATTTAATACTTGTTTACTTACTACATAATGTAAAACACGTTGGCCACTTTCCTTCCCCTACAAAATTGTTCCATTAAGCTATAGGCATTTCTAGGATTAGATATTAAATAATCAAGTTGTTCTAAAATTATGATGTTCTTTTTAAACACTTTTCCACATTTTTATCAACATCAATAAGTTATACAAGTGGATTTCATGTTAGCATGCCCACATATGTATACAATGTAACTCAAGTAGACTCACCCTCCCCTTACTTTTCTCATCTATCCTTTCCTACTTCCCAACCAATTTCAACAAGCTTCATTGCTTTATTTGTAAAATTATTTTCTTAATTTTGAGAAGCATCAAAATTATATACAACTGGGACAGGACAGAGTCCATGGAGACAGTGAAAAACGGTAAATAGGATCAAAATAGCTTATGTTCATGTGTGAAAATGGAATAGTGAAGGTGGTTGAGATTTATTTTGGGAAATGGAAGAGTGGAGGAGGGATGATGGAAGAGTGAATCAGATCGAGACATATTGGACATGAAAGTAAAAGCTTCTGTACTACTAAGTAATGTTAATAAGTAATGTGGGGGGGCAGCAAACATTGAATACAATAAGAAATGGAAGCAACATATCTTTGAGCTGTTTCCTGGGCAAGCGTATACTTTAAATTCAGGGAAATAATATGGAAATTAAAAAGGTATAATCTCAATTTAGCCATTATTGACCCTGACACTGTTCACCTCATCTAAACATCGGAAGTCATCCAGTTTTAGACAAAATGATAGGTCGACTCAGATGTCTATGTGTTGTAGAGATTGGGAAATAAAGGAGTCCATGCCTAAAAGGATCAAATTTATCTGTCTAAGCAAAGAACAGGAAAGGAAATATCTTAGCAACAAAAAGTCAGTCCATGGATAACAGTTTCAACCTGTTATGTAGAATCAGAGAAAATGGACACAGGCTCAGAAGAGAGGGCAGGTGAGATGATGAGAATAACTTAGGGCTAAGCAACAGAGAAACCAGTTATTCCTAAGAGTTATATCTACTTGGAAAGGAAGCCATATAGTGTGATACTTGGCATTGGGCAGGGGAATGAAGATAAACCTGGATCGGAAGCCCAGTTCAAACCCTTACAAGTTCTCTTTTTTCATATTTTATAGACTAGAATTATATTATCTGTCTCCTAGAGATGTTTAGAAAACTAAGTAAAATGACGTATATGAAGGATCTTGGACACAAAACACAACCTTCCATATATGCACACACAGAGGCATATGTGTATTATATATAATATACATAGCATATATAGTCTATTTGAATCAAGAATAGCATTTACAGAAGTGAAACACCATTGAG